TGAAGAGCAAGAGTCGTTTTACTGACCACTTCTCTCAGCTGCATTATGCCTTAATTTAAGCCATTGTGTAAGTATGTGTATTAAATTCAGAAAACAATTTGTGTTTCAATCATGAACTCCACAAATGGCAAGAAAACAAGTTGGAGACTTGACTCAACGTTCTATCAGTTTCTGCCTTGATCATCTCTCAGTCCTAATGTTTTCTGGAACAGCTTTGGACATACCTAAAACCCAGGAGCTTTCTGATGATGAAGCTTGAAGTTTTATCATCTGCTTGAAAGTGTATTTTAGCATTTGTTCTCCTGTGTGGTTAGGAAACAGTTTATAACTCAAACCCCAACCTTGTAGACCTTTCCTGGTTGTGTTGGCCCCGGTGTGTTCTGGACAGATCTGCAGGTGCTTCACCTCAGCTTTTGAGGAGTTTCCATCTGTTTCAGAGTGTGGCTCTTTTTTTCCCCCACCCTCCAAAGAATGCAGAAACCCCAAGAGCTGCTCAGGGCAGTGTCTGCAGTTAAAGCATGTGAAGTGGCACCAATTACACGCTGACTATCCCAGTACTGTACAGATCTGGTGATCCTGGTGCTCCATTTGGCTGTGACTGTTCAGCCCCTGCTCCTCCTCCCACCCAAACCCAGGGCTGTGCTCTCCTGCCTTTCACACATCTCCCCAGTCAGCCTAGTCTGGAGCTTAGTGTTGTGTAGGAAAATGTGACCAGCAGTCCTCTGGCTCAGACTGGTTTGATTTGCTGGTTGCAGATTACATCCCACCCCAAACTGTCCTTGGGTGCTTCATCTTGGTTAGCTGCAAACATGCAGAGACACAGCCCCAAAGTAAACCAGCTCATGCTCCATCCCTGAGAGTGTTCCAGGCCAGGTTGGATGGGGCTTGGAACAACCTGTGCTGCTGGGAGGTGTCCCTGCTCATGGCAGGGGTGGCATGAGATGAGCTCTAAGTCCTTCCAACCCAAACCAGTCTGGGTTCTGAAGTTCTATCCTAGCTCCTCAAGCAATCAGTGACTTGGGCTGGGAGGGAGCTCTGCAGTTCAGCTCACCAACACCTCAGTCAGTGCTGCTGGAGGATTTCCAGCCCTGAGAACATGAGCAGGAGCACCAGCTCAGTCAGTGAGGAGAGTCCCTCAAGGCAACCCCTTGGGGTTGGGGTGTACACCAGAGTCACAGCTGGTGCTGCTTGCAATACAATAACCTTTTCCTTCAGCCAGAAGTTTGTAAAGGATGGAAATAGCTCTTTTCCTCTGAAATGTGGGTCTGTAGTCAGGAAAGTGCCATAAACCTGCCCCTTTGCTGTGGATCCAAGCTGGGGTAGTGGGAAGCCTGGAATGTCTGGGGAGGAGCACAGTCCTTGCCACACATTCCCCAGCCAGAGACCAGAAGGGATGTTTCTCGTTCTGCTCTGACTGAACTGGTTCCAGTTCACCTTGAACAAACACTTCAGGTGCTCAGGTGCAGTTTGACCAAAACAACCCTCAGTGATGCAGTTCAGTCTGGCTTAGGTCACAACCTGCTTTTCTTCACAGCTGACAGTGGAGACTTCCAGCAATGTGCCTCAGGTGCTGAGCAGCCCCTGGGTGGGAGCCAGGCTGGCAGCTCTGGGTGCTGCTGGTGGCAATGGTCTATGTCTGCTGGGTCAGCTCTTGGTCTTCAGCACATTCTTTGCCACTTGTCCCCTCCAGCAACCTTTTGGATGTGAGTCTCAAACCTTCCTAGCACCAGCACAGACTGTGGGAGAGGAGGAATAAGTCATTGTGCACTCCTGGTGCTCTGTGAAAAGCTTGTGGTCTGGGCCCTGTGCTGCATTCAGCACTAAACACACTGAAAATTAACCTTTTTTGGTCCTAGAAATCACAGATAGGAGCATGAGCTCTGCTCCTTTCAGCCTAGCAGCATAGGAAGGCAAAACCTAACTGTGACAAAAGTGATGTACAGCTCTGCCCGTGGCTGACTGTTCTTCAGGGCTGGAGGATGTGGGGTCTGAGAACCCCCTGGGCCCTGCCAGTGGTACTCAGACTGAATCAGAGGAGCTCTGGGGGAGAGGCTGGAGGCAAACACTCCAAGCAGTGTCCAGAGGATGTACAAGATGAGGGTAAGACTCGTTCGCTCAACGCTCATTTCTTGGGTGCTTGACAGTAGCTGCTTAGTGAAGAAGTTGATACTTGGGAGGTAAAATTATCAGTAGAACAGTCTTAAATATCTGGTGTCTTTGTGGAAGGACTTTGTAATGGTGTGCAGATAATAGTGTGTAGGTTAGTGCCATGAAGAGTGTGAACTAAAGGTTCATTTTAGTGCTTGCAAATGCATATGTTTAACTCCACACCTGTGTGCATGAGGAGCAAACCTTGAGCTCAGTCCAGGTGCTGAAGGAAAGATTTTCTTCTGACCCAACCTGTTGTATATTTTTGCTATTTTGAGATCTGCTATGCAGTTTGACCCCTTAGTAAAAT